TCATGGTTTCCCATATTACGTTTAAAGTCATTTATCCATTTTGAGTTTATTTTTGTGTATGGTGTAAGTTGGTGGTCTAGTTTAATTTTTCCGCATGTATCTGTCCAATTTTCCCAACACCACTTATTGAAGAAACTGTCTTGACTCCATTGTATGTTCTTGCCTCCTTTGTCAAATGTTGAGCATAGTGGTTTGGGTCAATTTCTGGGTTCTCTATGCTATACCATTGGTTTATATGTCTGTTCTTGTGCCAGTACCAGGCTGTTTTGAGAACAGTGGCTTTGTAATACAGCTTGATACCTGGCATTGAGATTGATCATGTAACACTGTTTTCCAGAGCACATTATTTTTATTTTGGTCTGAGCTTTGTGACGTACAGCACTTTCAAGGAAATTAATTCCAAGCCACAAGAACCTTTTCATATAACTTTAATAACATTAGCACACTCGGCTTTATAAAATTTGTCCTGAAGGTATACATATTCATGATTACCCTGTAATTATTTATTGCGTAGCTTTGTCTTTAACAATGTCCAACATATACATTGGAAAGGTCAAACCTCAATATCATAATTACCAAATTCCTAGTAAATTCTTTTACTTTTTTTACAAAACAAGAACCAATCTGTCAAGTGGATTCTATAAACATGCAAAACAAGCATTGCTTGTGCTTCTTTAATGGAATGTTTTTCCCCAGATAGTTCCATACAGTCTTTGATCACCTCCTTTTTTAGTGGAACCTTAGTATGTCTTCATTTGGCAATGTTTCTTTCTTAAACCAGCCTTACTATTGAAAATCACATAATATGGCAGTTTCTTTTTATAGTTGATTGTAGTTATTTTTTATTGTCTTAATAATCACCTTTCCCCCCTTTTGAATGTGCATTAAAAAAAATTATTTAGGGGAATGGTTTATAATATAAAAGCCTTTGTAACGATCATTGTTGAGTGTAAAAAATTCAATTTTCATTTTAAAATAACTTAGTGAATTTCCACTCTGAATTTTTTTATTCCATTTCCTTTCCAGTATTTGTCAGGGGTACTAGGTTTATTAATACACTTTTCCATGACCATGTAGAGAATTGCCCTGTAGAAAGGATATATGTTTCCATTTAAATGACAGAAGTATTTGCAGCCTTGGTCCTGGAAAAATATCTAGCGGGGGGAAAAACAAAGCAAACTAATTTTAGTGTAAATGACACCACTTTTGTAGCTTCTCATGTCGTAGAAATTCTGTAATAGGACTGATAAATCAA